ATAGATCATTAGTGGAAAAGCAAATTACAGCCTTGATCTGGGTTGCTGTCAAAGTGCAAACCTAAAAGCAGACTGTATTATGGCATACTTCAGAAAAATTTAGATAAAGTAACCACTGACAAAAGCCAGGGGTGGTCTTTATGTAATTCAGCAAGGACATCATAATCCAGAGACTTTAACTCAAGCTTAATAACTAATCCCTAATAAATTAAGACATTAAGAATGGTCTTTCTCTCATCTTCACCCTCTCTTCCGTGACATTCCTTTCTGTCTACTTCGGCTCCCTGAGCTTCCAAATCTTTTCTTCAATGATGTCACTACTGCAGTGACATAAGATGACTGTGCATTCCATGAAACTGTGTGGTTGATTAGTGAAGTAGGACTCCTTAAAACACATCTTCCTTGTTTCCTCCCACACCTGATCCTGTCCCCTCTTTTCCTCTCCCCCCTTCTTTATTCCCCCAAGTCCCGCCCATCCTCTACCTCTTGTGATTATTTTGTCCCCCCTTCTAAGTAGGACTGAGGCATCCACACTTTGGTCTTCCTTCTTCTTGACTTACATGTGATCTGTAAGTTGTATCATGGGTATTCTGAGCTTTTTTCCTAATAGCTACTTAGCAGTGAGTACATACCATGTGTGGGATTTTTTGTTGTTGTGTTACCTCACTCAGGAGAGAACTTCTGAGGCAATCACCATCCCTGACTTCAAGCTCTACTAAAGAGCAATAGTGATAAAAACCACACGTTATTGGTACAGAGACAAGCATGTAGATCAGTGGAATAGAATTGAAGACTCAGAAATGAACTCACACACCTATATGGTCACTTGATCTTTGACAAAGAAGCTAAAACCATACAGTGGGAAAAAGACAGCATATTCAACAAATGGTGCTGGCTTAAGTAGAGGTCAGCATGTAGAAGAATGCAGATTGACACATTCTTATTTCCTTGGATACATGCTTTTGATCTGGACTGACACTTTCAATCAATGTGATCTTGAGGCACATCTTTAATCTGGGCCATACCTCCTGGAGGTCGATATGAGGGCAATGGAAGAAGGAAGGGATTGCTCTTTCTTCACCTGCTCACACTCACTTTGCCAGCACATCCATTCGAACCAGGATTCCAGCTTATACAGAAGACTGGCTAAGACACCTAGCCTCATAGGACTGAGCAACTACTAGATTCTTAGACTTTCCATTCACAGATATTGTTGGGTTAGTTGGACTTCACCTTGTAAGTATTTCCCTAATTTCTGTGATTCTCGAGAAACCTGACTAATACATTGCCTCAGAACATGGGGGTGCTACCTTGGAATATGGGGGTACTACTTAAGGATTACACTATTAGCAGTTTTATGAAGTGACTAGCTCTTTGACTCACTTCCCATGAAGAGTTAGAATTTCTGTTCTTTCTTCTAGAATCTAGGGACAATGTTAGAACTGAGATACTTATGTAGCATTTGAGGGTATGTTTTAAAGGGTGTTTTAAACGTGTGCATGTTTGTGCAGAATCCAGAACAAAACTTCTAGTGTTGTCAGGGCTAGCTACCATTTTAAAGGGAGACAAGGTGTCTCATGGAAGTTGCCAAGTACAATAGGCTGACTTCCAATCAATCTTAAGGGTTTGCCTATCTGTGACTCTTTCAGTGCTACGATTATTAACATGTTGAGTTTTTATTTTATGTGGTGTCTAGCGATTAAACTCAGATCTTGCAATGCAGACTCTTTGTCAATTGAACAATAATACAGCCATGATTTAATCTTAATTACCTATTGCCTTACTTAAGGTTATTGTTGCTGTGATGAAACACCCTGACCAAAAAACAAGTTGGGGACAAAAAGGTTTATTCAGCTTATACTTCAATATTGGTGTTCATTATTGAAAGAAGTTAGGTCAGGAAGTCAAGCAGGACCTCCTGCTGGAGGCAGGAGCAGATGCAGGCCATGGATGGGTGCTGCTTCTTAGCTTGCTCCCATGACTTGCTTAGTCTGCTTTTTATAGAAAATGAGAACCGGGCTGGAGAGATGGCTCAGTGGTTAAGAGCACTGACTGCACTTCCAGAGGTCCTGAGTTCAAATCCCAGCAACCACATGGTGGCTCACAGCCATCTGTAATAAGATCTGATGCCCTCTTCTGGTGTGTCTGAAGACAGCTACAGTGTATTCAGAAATAATAAATAAATAAATCTTTAAAAAAAAAAAAAGAAAATGAGAACCACTAGACTAGTGATACCACAATGGTCTGGGCCCTCTCCAGTTGATCTCTAATTGAGAAAATGCCTTACAGTTGGATTTCATGTAGGCATTTCCTCACCTGAGGCTCCTTCTTCTCTGATGATTCTAGCTTGTGTCAAGTTGACAAAATCAGCCAGTATATACCTACATAGGTATGAAATCCAAGATTAGCATGTTGTGGAGAATTGCAGCCATATAAAAAGCCCTCTCTTTCTTATTCTAGTCCAATCAGGTTCCATGTGAGTGATGGTCCTCTAGGTGACTCCTGATTGTATCAGTCAGCTCAGACCACTGTACATAATATCAGAGAACTTGAATACCAGACACTCATTATTCACAGTTGTGGAGTCTGGGAAGTCCAAGATTAAGGTGGTAACTAGTTGGTTTCCTGTGATGGAAAGAGGATAATTTGGAAGCCAACTCTGATATGACAGGTAAACTGAGGTGGGGTATGGAGTTGGTGATTGATTACCTATTAGACTTTTTTTCTGAGGGAACAAAAACTTGATTCTCTTGAGTGGGAAAAAGACTCCCTGGGGACCGTGAAAAGCTCTCTGGAGCCAGCAAAAAACTCTCTGGGGCTGGTAAAAAAGGTAGAAACACGCACACGCACACGCACACACACGCACACACACTTGCTGGATGAAGCAAGCTCCAAAAACTTTATTTTTTTCCCCTAGCTTATATATCTACCAGGAAAATCTTTCAAGCATTATAAAAACTAAAATGTGGTTACATTCTATTTTTCTTTAAGTGAATAATGACAATGAGAATACATTTTTAAAAAGAGAAAGAAAAAAAAAGAAAAACACATGTTCCTCAATATCCTTACATAATCAAATGTTTTATATATTATGGGTGAAAAACAAATTATTCCTAAGAACCTACATACATTCAGAACCAATTTGTTATAAATTAACAAAGTATAAGCAAACAAGGTAATTTCCTCAGCTAGTTTGTCTCACTGGCAGGCTTCAATTTGTGGTTACAAAGACAGGATCAATTATTTTATTATTTAATTTAAAAAGTAATCATATAAAATCTTCAAAGAAGATTTTAAACTTAGTTTAAATCTAAACTTTTATATAAAAACAGTCATTTCTACTTTAAACCCTCAGGGTACACATCTGTACATCAACAATTTTTTATTAAATCATATCAGAAAGCTGAGGGTAAAAATGGGTACAAGAGATTGATCACCACTCTGATTACCAGTCCAGCTTTAGCAGGAGAGACACACCAGCTAGTACCAGTCAGGCTGACATTATCCATGATCTCTGACCTCAAAATATCTTTCACTTAGTTATCAACTTTCTAATGCCTTTCTAAACTTGACATTGTTCACCAAGAGTTTCTACGTCAAAACCACTAGCAAAAAATATCTTAACTTTACTAACATGTAAACATCTCCAAATTCTTTCTAAGGGTGGTAATTGAATCATTAATCTGCTCCAGCAGCAATGCTTGAAAAAGATCAAGAACAATTATTGTAAATGCCAATGACACTGCCCAGTAAGGGTCTGGAAACTCCCCTTAGAGTTTTGATACAACTCATAGATTAGGGGATGACATGATGACCACAGGACAACAAGCAGAGTGACGCCGTATGACAGCATGAAGTCCTCGGGACACGTAGTGCCTCTTCACGGCACACCCTTTGAGACTGTGCTAACTGGTGGGCCACATTCCATGAGTTCTAAAGCCATTTGCTAGTCCTTTTGCATGGGCCTCGTCAGAATAACGTGGCTGCCTGCATCCTTGACTTCCTCGTTGCTGGCTATCCCCCCAAGAGTTCTGACTGACAGTCTATAAAATGTCTCAGATCTTGAAACAGAGTATCTTTTCAAGTCTAATACATTTATAAACCTTGAAACCCAATGAGGTTTAATTAAAATATTAGTTCTCGAAAACCTGGACCAGGATTTATTTCCAAATCTCAGTGACTAATTTATGGGTTATTATTCTTGCTAATGCCACCTTCACAACCACCTTTCAGGACATGCCAACCAGTGTGTAACCCAAGTAATCACATGAGCCTGTGCTGTCTAAAATGTGCACAATGTGACATGTACACACCTTGTAGACGAACTCTCTAAAACTTAACAACTTTTTTTTAACACAAACATCTGGAGTTTAATCAAATGACATAGTTTAGGTTTTCATACTTTAGGGGGAGGGAGGGAAAGATGTCAGGTAGAGACCTTTTTTTTTTTTTTGCCTGAAAATTCGGACTGATACAGACTGTAGTAGCCAGAGCAAACACGTTGATGAAGCAAGGGAAGCTACTGAAAACACAGGTGTTATCCAGACAGACCTTGTCTCTGGGGTTTGTCTATTGTGTAACTGCATTATCGTCTGATCTCTGATTTCCCCCTCTGTAAAACTGAGGACAATGGTTGGAGTCAGAGAGACAGAGAGAGTGACTAGCTCCTGGCAAGTGTTCTGTTAATTTCTGTGTAGTGTTCTGTTATTTTCTCTGGGTGTTCTCCAAGAAGACCCACTGGCTCTTGAGAACCTTTGCTTTCACTTCCTGATTGCCCAGTTCTACCAAGGAGATTCATTAACGCTTTGTCTCTAGGTTACAGTGAGGCTCTGCCCCCTCAGCAGCTCTCCTTGACCCATAGAGCTGCTGATCAGGTTGCCCCGGTAGCCGAGCCCATGGTTTGTCATCAACAGCATCATCCATCAGACTCTAAGGGTTCCCCAGTTCATAAGCTGCCGCAGACATCCCTCCCTTGTGTTGCCCAAAGAGTGCTTTCAGAGTTTTGATTTTGAAATGATTTTTAATATTGATTCAAGGAAGTAAAGACATGACCAAAAAATGTGAGCTACAGGAAGTGGTATGCTTTGGGGTGCAGAAGTTGAGCCTGCAGGTGCCACACAGACGAAACAAGATGGCTCATGACAAGTATAGAACACTGCCTTGGGAGTGCTCTGTAAGTGGTATTTTCTCCACCTTTGGACATGATGTCCCTAAGGATTAAGGCAACTTGGCATAGACACTAGTGTCCTTCCACACATCGCTCCTTTTCTACTTCTCTCTAGTTCCTTCTCTTCTCTCCCTCTCCTCATTCTGCGTCCTCCTTCTTTCTCCCCCATCCTGTCCACTTGAATTGGCAATTTCTTTCCCTTGCTGTTTTAGTCTTTTCTGGCTTTATTCCTCCTTCTGCAAATCTCTTATTCCCTCTTTCTTTTTTCTTCTAGCATCAAATGTGTCATTGTTCTGTATTAATAACCAAGCAGAGACCGAAATCACATACATGTCTCTGCATGAATAATCTTTCATCTCCATAGGAAGACTACAAAGTCACAGGAAAAGATTGGAGAAGACAGAACCCCAGCAGGAGTCTTGGAAGTCTCACTGGGCCTGGGCTTGTCCAGATGTTTTCCATTCCTTGGCTCGAAGCTTTGCTCGCTCAATTTTTCCTGTCACAGTCTTGGGCAGGTCTAAGACAAACTCCACCTGTTGTGAAAATCAGATTAACATAGGTCATTGGTGACCACAGTGGCACTGGATTTTTAAGAGGAGCTGATGTGAGCACTTAAGACTGGAGAGACCAGGTGAATGAAGATGGAGGATGGGGATGCTCTAGATTGACTCAGAACCCGGGGCAGGAAGAACATGACAGGGAGGTGGAAAACCCTGGCTTTTTTACATAGTCATGAAGAGAAGAGAAACAGCAAAATGAACATGACATGGCCCAGAGGCAGACACTTGAGCTCCTACATAAAACTGTATGCTCCAGTTCCCACTCTAGCCAACTTGGGAAAGTCCTTTGGCTTTGTTTTGAGACTCAGCTTAATGATTAAGTATGTTAAAGGATAATAATAGTGTCTTTAGGTTATTGTGGAAAGAGGGCAATACCGTCAGAGTACTTTGACACTTGAAAGGCGATCTTTGCTGAGTAGCTGCAGCAAAGATCAACTGCCCAAACGTGTTTACCATGTAGCCTCTGAGGACACCTGAGGAATGGAAAGAAGCTACAAGGAAGAGCTCAGTTTGCTGCTAAGAAGAAAACAACTCTGCTTATGGTGAAAAAGAGGCAGAGGAATTGGGCAGGGTTGTAGGGAGGGCACTGCAAGGAAAAAGAACAAGCGGTCTTAGGGATTCTAGAGGAAAAACCAGGGCCAATACTTGAGTGATACACTCAATATGTATATGGTATGACTGGGCCCTCTTACTTGATCTTAGAAATGTCCAGTTGCAATTAAAAAACCATCACATCTGGAATGACTGGATGTCTTCCTTCTTTTTTTAAAAAAAAAATTATTATTATAGGCACGCGGGTGTTTTGTCTCCATGTATGTCTACCATGTGCATGCGGTACCCCCAGGAATCAGAAAAGACCATTGGAACTCCCTGGAACTGGAGTTACAGATGGTTGTAAACTGCCTTGTGGATTTGGAGAATCCAATTAAGATGCCCTGGAAGGGCAGCTAGTAGTTTGTCTGCTAAGGCATCTCTCCATCCTCATCTAAGTTCTTTAAAACATTCATTAAATATTTACTCTGTTTCAGCCACCCTTCTAGATGCCTGATGCTTTTACTCACTTCACTCCCACCCCTACCTCCCTGCTCCCCAGTCTCCAGAGAGGACATCTAGTTCTCTATTAACTCAAACAAGCCTCCAACAGATTAGATTCCCATGCTAGTTTCAGGCTGTCCCAGCTAACTAACCCTTTTCCTGCTGCAGCATAACCCACTATAACCAGCAGGACTCTCCCACCAATTCTACTATCTTACTGTCTTCTTTGCTTTCATGGCCCTAGCAATGATCAATCTGCTCCTCTCCTGGTCTCTTTTTTCTGCCCCTCTCTCTGACCCAGAGAGGTAGCCATGGCAGTCTACCTGAGATGCCTCTTGCTATCCTTTCTCTGTTATCTATAATAATAATAATAAAAAAAAACCCTGATTGCTCATGGAGCTGCCACGGCAGTGGTTTCTTTACTGCAGCCTTTGCACATAGAAGAGAACATCTATATCCTCTATCCCCATTTTACAGATGAGGAAACTCAGTAGCACAACGAACACTGGGTAATTAGTAGAAGTGGATTTTGACCCACATGGTGACTCCTAAGACTGTGCTGTGCTGCATTTCTTTCAATTTGAGGATAAAAGTCTGGCTGTGGACACTGTTGTTAAGTTGCATTCCTCTGCAACTGAACCCTGTATAGTTCTGAATATTTTTGCAAAGCCCTACTGTACAGACTTCAGGTAGAGGTCAGAAATTACTGGGACTTTCATGAAATCATTTGGCTTTTAATTCAGAAGAAGTCAAAGGCTGGGAACATATATGCACTGAGATAGTTATTGGATTGTCTTTGGAGAGATTTTGGTCACTTCAGGGAGGACATGTAAATTAGAGGCCTTGTCCTCATGTCAAAGAAGAGAAGTATAATAAATGTTCTTCTGCAAGCATAGGGAAAATGGGTGGTGACAGCCTCACCTTCCTAGGGTACTTGTAGGGTGCTGTCACTGACTTCACATGCTCCTGAAGCATCTTGGCAAGCTGGTCTCGGTCATGGGAGAGAAATTCAGGGGCTAGGACAACAAATGCCTTCACCACCTGCAGCAAGAATGGGAACCAAGAGGGATCAGCGTACTTATTCATCTCTTAAGATAAAGCAGAATCAGCATCAAAATATTCACCGTGGCTATCATAACTGAATGCCTACATTCATCCACATGTCAGAACCAAAGGAAAGGAAAACATGGGTCGTGGGTAAGAACAGCCAACATTCCAATGCATTCTCAAGGGACTGATTTGTTTGAATGAGAATTGAGGATAAGATATCCCAGGCTCAGCTCAGACACTAGGGGCAGTAAAGATTGCTGAGAGGAAAACCAAGACTGGGAACTCTAACTTTAAAGGGTTTGTTTATTATCGCTTCAAAAGTTTTCTCATCTGTAGGATGAGTAAAAATTTTATATTTAATTCACAGGAAGGGAAATAAAACCACCTATAACTCTAAGGTCTAAGGTCTAAGGTCCTCTTTTACTCTCCCAGTGGCTCTCAGTATCTTACTTGCCATACATTCTGTATCTGCCAGACATATGACATCACCAAGCTTGTGACATGCAGAAGTACCCGGGGACACATATCCACTTGTCTGCTTTAAGCCCTCTCCACATACATACTAAGCTCTGCACAATCCTGTAACCCTGGTACCTTCCTTATTCACTGCATGGCTCAAGGGCTGCATCTTCTAGACTAAATTCCTCTTCCTTTACTCTTGTTAAGAAACAGATCCCTAGAGATACTGCTAAACTTTGTCCCTAGCATCCTGCAAATATATAGCACATTTAAAACTCACAACAGTCCGTTTCCTCACAAATGGAAAAATTGAAGAAAATAGTGATTAAGCAGCTTGGTGATTCCATACAGCTAATTGGCAATATGGCCAATATTTGAACCCAAGGTATCTAGCCTGTGAATCTGTCTTACAACGCTGTTCCCATGTTTGACAACTGCTCCATCACCTCTCCTCTGGTAGGGTCTGGGCTGCTGATCACAGCTGTTTCAACTACTGCAGGATGCTCCATCAGTGCATTCTCCACCTCTGATGGTCCAATCCGGTACCTGCAAAAGTATGTCCTTCAGGGAAGATGGGACACCCAGCCTCTAGGCATGAGAACCAGACAGAGAAAAAGCCTAGAATACCCATTCTGGTCCAGAAACTGTGCTCACCCACTGGAATTAATGATATCGTCTGTTCGTCCCATGAAGTGGAAATACCCTTCTGGATCCTTGATTCCCCGGTCTCCCAGAAGCCAAAAGTCTCCTCGAATATTAGCCTGTGTCTTCTTGGGATTGTCCTAGTGAGCATAGACACAGAGAGCTACTGTGTGTGCAAAGTCTAAGTCCCTGGCCTTAGAGCTTCTATGAATAGTTACTTGAGTTTACCACCTGAGCAGCTGTACACTGTATGGTCTAGCTGTCACAAATCTACCAACCTTAGATCCCCCAGCCAACCTGGATCTTCTCTCCATTGGTTTCATTTATTCTACTAAGAATCTCCCACCTACTCCTCTAAATTGAAATCTTACAGATGATATTAACATGTTCACAGATCCATTTATATTCTAAGGTGATTCCCCCTCCATATTCCATTTCCCTTCCACAGACAGTTTAACCTCTCTTCATCTACAACACCAAAGGTTATTGAGTCCGTTTGGCATCTCCCCACTGTTCTTCCATTGTACTTGAAAGGTCTAGAGACTGGCCAGTAGAATTCCAAAGCCTCACCTGGTGTTCATACTTGCACCATGGCTGGAACCCTCTATTTTACTAAGCCTCTGGCATGTGAGTTTTAAGGAGGCTTGAGGGTTACTGACTGGACATTTTTATATCTTACTCAGGTATGAGATCATGGGTTTAAGTTGATGTCCAGGCATGAGGTTAGAATCTTCCACTTAGGTCCATCATTGGGAATGCCAAAGGAAGTTCAAGGGGCTTCTCTGAAGCCAAATCAATATTCTAGGTCGTAGAACTGAGAGCAGAAAGCATATTTCTTAATCAGTGGCTCAGATTTTGTCATCACCATGCAGATTCTGCTGGCATTACCACTGTGGCCCTAAATAGATCTGCCAACATCACTACACCAGTTTCCTGGTGTATTTGATGGGGACACCCATGTCCTTGCTTCCTTGCTAGCGTCTGGGAACACATGGACAAAGTGTGCAGGCAATTTTTGGAGAAGCGTGCAATGTAGCTGCATCCTGGTTGCAGAGCTTCAGTTTCCCCTGTACAGTGGGAATGCTAATTTGGATCTGTCATAGTTACCTTATTTAGCACACTTATATGTAGTGAAATTAAAAGGGCTTCATAAATACCATTATCATTATACTCCATATGTAATATAACCTGATATCAACTTGCCAAAGAGGCCATGAGACAGGGATATGAATAACTTGCTCCTGATCATCCAGCAAATACTGAGTAGCATTTGAACTTAAGCAAGCTAGCTCCAAAATTTTTACATGATGTCTAGAAGCATTAAATGTGTTTAAGGTCTATTAGGAGTCTTAAGACAATGCTTGTCTCATAGTATATAATCAATAAACCAATGGTTCTTAACCTTCCTGATGCTGCAGCCCTCATGTTCTTCCTACATTTCCTCATGTTGTGGTGACCCCCCAATCATAAAATTATTTTTGCTGCTACTTCACAACTGTAATTTTGCACCTGAAAGGTTGGACTGTAATAAATGATAGGAAGAACATTATCATTAGATTTGCTAATTTACTATCTTTGGCACAAGCTTTTGCCACACACCCAGATGGTATGATCTTGTCCCTACCTATTTCCAACAGTTGTAGATTTGACTAGGCTTATAAGCTCTGGCTTCACCATCATTTCCTCGTGAGAGAGCTGGCCCTACTCATGTATTATCTATGAATGCCTTCCAGAGGTCTAGATGTTGGATGCTGGCAGACTACTGTGATTCTCTCTGGGAAGTACCCAGAATGTCTTCAAAGCTCCATAATAAAACAAGGCCCAGGTCCATGCTTTGTGGAGAGAACAGGGAGAATGCTGCTGTGTGTAGCTCAGAGCTATAAGAACACTGGCATGATGTAGGAAGGTTTGCTGTTGCAAAGGCTCATGGAGAAATGTGAGCTCTTTAGTGATTTCCTAGAACTTGGCTAAGGATGGCAAGAGTGATGGGCTGGCTTCTCTTTACACAAAGTACCCTTTTTTTTTTTGGTTGTTGTTCTAATTTTATATTATTGTTGGCTTACACAGAATTAGGTATCATTATGGAAAAGTGTCCATTCTTGAACCCTGGTAACTCTGTGAATCTCACCAATACCTCTTGAGGGTGTTCATAACATTTGGCATCCCTCGTCCTATGTGTTCCATCTCATCCTTGCAGAGAACAGAGGGAGAGCATAGGTCCTTACCACGTATCCAGAGAACATGCCTATAGGCCAGATGGGCTTCACCCTGATAGCCATGTCTCCTTCCTTGCCAGGGGGCAGGACATTGCCCAGCTCATCTATGATCTGAAGGAAGAGGAAGATTGGATAGATGACCCATAGAAGAGGAGTTAGCACAAACTGGTGTGACATTAGAGTTGGTCTAGTATAGACCATTTTGTTCTTAACAGGTACCAAAAGTCAAGGGAAGCCAAGAGGCTTAAGCTTGGATTCCTTGTCCACCTGCCAGGTTTTGTGCCAATAAAGCTTCTCAGTATGCTGGACCAGAGGAACCTGGCAGGTGCTTCTGGCTCTAAGAGTTCAGGAGAAACATGTGCCTCCCGTTATCTTTGTGAACCTCCTCACTTGTAGACTTAGAGACTGAAAAGCAAACATTGTTCTGCTACCTGGACCACTGGCCTTCAGCTATGAGACATTACGCTTGGACACTGACTTCTGTAAAACAGAAGCACTTATGGTGAACAAAGCTGGATACTAAAAGGCATTTCTGTTCAGTTGTCATAATTAAGACATTACCATAGTAAATGACAAATCATCACACATAAGTTGTCATTCCTCTGATAAACAGAAATCCACATGTAACCACAGACATATAAATACCAGTTCTTAGAATTCAGTCCAAATCAATAAAAAGAGAAAAAACTCATTACAATACAATCACTACAATCTAATAAAAACAGAGCATCATCCATTGACAAACAACACAGAGAGTGGTGAAGCTACACTGTCTTATCATAAGTCAATGGGACCATGCTGCAATTGGTACCTGGTGACGTAGAAGGAAGGGTGCCTAATTGTTAAATTTTAACCCTAAGTCACAAAACGCTGTGCCAAGTCACTTCTATTTTTTTTTCAAGATCACATTTAATTTTATAATTATCCAGGCAATTTGTTAGATAAGCAAAATGGCTCCTATTTTTCTCCCTCCCTCCTTCTTTCCCTCCCTTTCTTTGTCTTCTCTTCTTTTTCAAAAAATGAAAATATTACATTCATTCATTCATTCATTTATTCATTCATCTTATATGTGTGTGTGTGCTTGTAGGTTGAAGTTTGTTCTCTGTCTACCATGTGAGTCTCAGGGAACTAAACACTCATGCATCAAGCCATCATGCTGCCCTCTCAAGTTTAAAATATTATTTTAATATATCAGTATTATTTTTTAAGTTTAAATTTGTTATTTTGAGAATTTCATACACTAAATTTTATTTATGTTGTTTCCACCCCTTTCCCCAACTCCTTATCTGTTCCTCTTCATTCCTCTCAAATCATGAGCTTTTCTTCTTTAACTACTGTTACATACATACATACATACATACATACATACATACAACACACACACACACACACACACACACCATACTGAATCCATTTACTGTCACTCAAATATGCTTGTGCTTAGGGTTGAGTATGGGGGATTAGATAACCAATTGAGAGGTTTGTCCCTGGAGAAAACTGCTAACTCTTGTAGCCACTGATTGCTTCTACTTCTTCACATAGGTGTGGAGCCTTGGAAAATCTCCCCCATTCATGTTGAATGAGGTCATTATGAAGACGTTCTCTTGGCGACTGTATTGTTAAGATTTCACGGGTATAGCTCCTCAATCACTTCTAGAAGATACTACCTCAGAGGGTGAACCCAGGCACCCTGGCTTTTACGATTTTCCTGACTCTTCTTCCATGATGTTTCCCCAGCCTTAGGTGTGTAGGTTTCACTAAAGATGTATCAATTGGGATTGGTTACCCCATGGCCAGTTGTCCTCTGCATTTCAATAACCTGTGTATATCTATAGTGGTCTCTATCTATTGCAGAGGGAGGAGAAGGTTATCTTGGGCTTATCTGTGTATATAATGGTAAGTATTTAGAATACAGATAGAAATTATATTGGTTTAGGAAAATGGCAGAAGTAGGTTCTCTAGGATCCATGTCCTCTCATATAAACCAGTCATGGGTTTATAGTACCAGGCATGAGTTTTTTCCTATTGAGCAGGCTGCAAGTCCAATTACATATCTATTGGTTATCTCTAAGATAAAACTGCCATTACTGGGGGCTGGAGAGATGGCTCAGCGGTTAAGAGCACTGACTGCTCTTCCAGAGGTCCTGAGTTCAAGTCCCAGCAACCACATGGTGGCTCACAACCATCCGTAATGAGATTGGATGCCCTCTTCTGGTGTGTCTGAAGACAGCGACAGTATATTCATAAATAAAATAAATAAATCAATCAATCTTTAAAAAAAAAACTGCCATTACTGAACCACGGGGGACATCTTCCTGGGACAGTACTTGCTTTTAGGTTTTACAGCTGAGTATGACTATTGATTGCTTTTCTCCCTGGTCAGCTTGCATAGTACCTTCCAATACCATGAGAGCTAGGGCTCAGGAAGGAGATTTTTCAGGTCAGTTTCAGGTTAATTTGTTTTCAAAGTCTGCCCAAAATATATAGTGTCTTCACCAAATGGTTTTATCTTCAGGTCTTTGGAGTCAACCAAGGGCAATGGCAATAGCCTATATTGTTTTGGTAGTCTCTTGGAGCACCAGCCACAACCAACAACTCCAAGGGAGATTTCCTATACTTGGCATTCAAATTTTGGGTTTCATTAGTCTATGGCTCTTAGGGGGAGTAGTAATATCCATGTATTATTACTTAATTTAAACTATATATGTACACAAATGTGCACACACACATTATATTTATTTTAAAATAAAGTTATAAAACGATGTATTTTATTTTGGCTTTTTCAAACATCCCTAGTGTTATTTGTCTCTTTCCTTACTCCCTCTCTCTGTATTACCCTTCACTCTCCACCCCATTCTCTTCAATTAAAGTCTTCCCATTTTTCTCTTTCCCTCTTCATATAACCCATATCTTATTCTCTCTCTCTCTCTCTCTCTCTCTCTCTCTCTCTCTCTCTCTCTCCTTTTCTTCCCACTATCTCTTTCTACCTTCCTGGTTTCTGTGATTCCTCCATGGTATATATTCAAGCCTAAATGTTTGGAGCTAGGATCCTGAAGTCAGAGAGAGCACATAGCATTTGGTTTTTTTTTTTGGGGGGGGAGGGTGTCTGTGTTACAACATTCAGTATAATATTTTCTATCCATTCATCTGCAAAGTTCATGATTTCATTTTTCTTCATGGATGAATGGCATTCCATAATCGATATTAGTTTTCATTATCCATTCATCAGTTGAAAGGTATTTAGGTTGTTTCCATTTTCGGGCTGTTGTGAACAGAGCAGGAGTAAATGTGGCTGAGCACATATCTGTGGAATGGGAGGAGTGGGATAGTTGGGACATTACAATTGAACTATTTTTATTTTTATGTGAATTCTTCATGTTGATTTCCACAGTGAATCACCATTTCGTAACCCCACTAACAATAAGTGAGGGTCTCCCTTTTCTCCTGTTCTTGACAGCATTTGCTTTAGTTCTTTTCTTGGTCTTGGCCATTCTGACTAGGGCAAGATGACATCCCACAGTAGCTTTAGTTTTGCATTTCCCTAATTGCTAAAGATAATGAATAACTTTAATGTTTCTTAACATTTTTACTTTTTCTTTGGAGAACTCTGTACATATCCACAGCCTGTTTTTGAATTGGGTCATTTGTGTTCTTGATTTTTCATTTTTTGAGTTCTTTTTTATATTCTGAGTACTATTCCTTGGTCATGTGTACAGCAGGCAGTCTCTGCCACTCTGTAAGCATCCTTGTCTCTTGGCTGATTATTTCTTTTATCCTATAGAAGACTTTTGGTTTTATGAGGTCCTGTATGTCAGTTGCTGGCCATAATTACTAAGCAAATGAAGTCTTACCTAGAAAGCTCTTTCTTGTGTTGGTATCTCATAGGCTACTGCCAATGTCTCCTCCTAGTGGTTTCAGAATTTTAAGTTTCATGCTTGGTTTTTTTCATCCATTTGATTCTTTTTTCTTTTTTTTCTGTTTTATTTATTTATTTATTTATTTATTTATTTATTTATTTAAGCTGGATTTCAACAACAACAGAAACACCAGAAAGCCTACACACTCATGGAAATTGAATAACTCTCTACTCAGTGATCTTTGGGTCAGAGAAGCAATAAAAAAGAATTTAAAGACTTTCTAGAATTCAATGAAAATGAAGGCATAGCATACCCAAATTTATGGGACACAATGAAAGTAGTACTAAGAGGAAAGTTCATAGCACCAAGTCCCTTCATAAAGAAATTAGAAAGTTCTCACACCAGCAACTTAAAAGTATACCTAAATGCTCTAGAAAAAAAAAAGACGCAAGCACACCAAAGATAAGTAGATAGCAGGAAATAATCAAAATCAGGCTGAAACCAGTCAGTTAGAAACAAAGAAAACAATACAAAGAATCAGCGAAATCAAGAGCTATTTTTTTAAAAATAAAATCAACCAAAATAATCAAAAGACAGAGAGACAGTATCCAAATAAACAAAATCAAAAATGAAAAGGTAGGCATAACAACAGACATTGAGGAAATTCCAAGAGTCATTAGGTCTTACTTCAGAAGTCTGTATTCTATAATATTGACAAATCTCAATGAAATAGATGATTTTCTAGACAGAACAGATACCGCTTACCAAAGTTAAATCAAGATCAGGTAAACTGTTTAAACAGCCCTATAACCCCTCATTCCCTGACTAGCTTGTAACTTATTTAACTCATTTGATAATTAACTATTCTGTCTAGCATGTGGCTAGTTACCTCTCTTTCAGTCCTGGCCTGATTCTTCCTTAGTGTCTCCTCAGCATCTCCCTGCTGGTCTGTCTCCCATCTTGTCTCTCTTTATCTCTTACTATTTCCTAGAATCCTCTCTCTTCCTGCCAGTGCTCCAACTCCTACTTCCTGCCTCAGCTGTTGGCCATCAGCTTTTTGTTATTGACAAGTGATACTTATAAGAGATTCTTTCTACAGGGGAGGGTGGACATCCTTGTCTCTTTCCTGATTTTAATCTAATTTCTTCCAACTTTTCTTCATTTAGTGTGTTTTGGCCGTGGGTTTCTCATATGTTTATTATATTGAGTTTTGTTCCTCCAGTCTTGTTCTCTACAGAACTTTTACCATGAAGTTGGGTTGGATTTTGTCAAAGACTTTTTATGCATTATTGAGATAATCATGTGATCTTTGCCTTTAAGTCAAGTTCTTTGATTTATTATATTTATCATTTTAGGTATTTTGAACAATGTCTGAGTGTCTAAAATAAAAACAACTTGATCATTGTGGATGATCTTTCTTAAATGAATTTTTGCCCTTATGTTCATCGGTCATGTCAATCTGTAGCTTTATTTATTTTGCTGTAGTGCATTTACTTGGTTTGAGTGTTACAGTTACTATGGTTTCACAAGTATGTGAAAGTGCTCTTTCTGTTTGTATTTTTAAAAGTTTCGGCTACAGTTTTTGTTTGAAAGACTGGTGGAATTCTAGCTAGATCTGGTTTTGTTTGCTTGTTTTTGTTTTAAGTTGGAAAGTGGGGATCTCAGCACTCACCTAGCTAGGCTAGAATAACTGATACTAGTTCAACTCAATGAAAACATGTTAAATAAATACAATTTCACACATTAATGCCCGCCCCATCACCCTTAGCAAACCTGTACATCATAATGGGGAAAAGCTGTTCCCAGGTAGCCTGGTTTGACTTTCATCGTCCTAGAAACTCTGCAGGTAAGTCCCTGTGGAGAGACACAGAACAGCAAGCCTCAGGAATAATCACAAAGTCAGGGAAGGAAAGGTTCATAAGCAGGTCTCACCCTTGCCCTCAATTGCTCACATCCCTGTCTTCTCCATTCCCATACCCTGGCTCCCTCCTTTTTCCTGGAACTCTAACTCTAATGATACCACCAAACATTTTGTTCAGAAGACAGTCTGATTACTCACCAGGGGAGAGAAATAAACAACTACTCTCCACAAATCCAACTAGATAGGCAGAATGAGTTAGAGTGACAAAAATCAGCAGTAACATATCACACATTTCAAAACTGGAGAAGAAGCAATGTTCCCAACACAGAGGAATGATGAATGCTTGAATAAGTGGATATGCTAAATACTCTAAGTGATCATGACATGTAGCACACAGATATTATACTGTAGGGGTAGGGTACAGCTAGGTGGTAGAATAATTGCCTATCATGTGCAGGCCCCTGTTGGTTGACAGAGGAGAGGCAGAGGCAGAGGCAGAGGCAGAGGCAGAGGCAGAGGCAGAGGCAGAGGCAGAGGCAGAGGCAGAGGCAGAGGCAGAGGCAGAGGCAGAGGCAGAGGCAGAGGCAGAGGCAGAGGCAGAGGCAGAGGCAGAGGCAGAAGAGGAGGAGAAGGAAGAGAAGAAGAAGGAGGAGGAGGAGGAGGAGGGGGAGGAGGGAGGAGGAAGAAGAAATATGGAAGAAGAAAGAGGGAAGATGAAGAAGAGGAAGGGAAAGGAGAATGAAGAGGATGAGGTGTCAAAACAAGAAGAATCAGGGAAGTGAGGAGGAGGGGAAGGAGGAAAAATTTTATGTTCAGTTCTTATGTGTCATGTAATTGTTTAAAAACATGAACTTACCCATCTACAATCTGAGAGACCTACACTCATAGTAGGGACAGTTTGCTTGAATTCTAAAATGAACCCTGCCCTCAGAGAGGCTGTGATACAGAGAAGCCCCCTCTGCACATGTCCTTGTCTGGATGGACAGCAACCCTTGCTGGGCGTGCTCTCTGCGCATTGTGGTCCTCACTTGTGTTTGTAAGCTCTTCCTGACTGCTTCATATCACAGTGTGACAGTGCTACCTTCAGTCTCCTGGGGGAACACTACCAAGGGGGGCATTAGACAGAGAAAGAAGGTAGGTGAGAGGGTAGAGTGGAGGATAGAAAAATAAGAGATGCCCCAAAAAGGAGCAGGTCAGGTTGGGGGACAGAATCTCCAGGTTATTCTGATGAGTAGTACAGATGGTGCAGATATATGTTGGGCGCATGCTGCCCATGAACTCCAAGATGTATCAACAGGGATGGTAGGATTTTGATGCCTTGTCCCTCTCCCTTGCCTCTGTCTGAGCAGCCTAACATATACAAGGGTGTCAGTTTTCTGCTAATGTGTGGTTCCATCACAGAAGACTTCCATAATCATTTTGTCTGAATGAACAGCTGCTGTGTTTTGGTTGCCATGGTGATGGTGGTGAAGATGGAGCCCCTAAGGAACCATTAGGTCAGTAAGAAGAATTAAGGCTTTTCTGATGGGACTGAGTGGTGGCTCCAATATTAGACTTCCCAGCCTTCAAAGCTATGAACCAAAATATCTACTTTTCTTTATAAATCAGCTAGCCTTGGGTATTAGGTTAACAGATCAGACTATGCATGCTGATATTTTCTACTTTGTGAGTCCTTCTTTTTCCCATCCATTATCCTCACAGTTTCACCTCCTATCTCTAGATAGGTGAGAAAGAAGGATAGAGGAGAAAGAGAGAGAGAGAGAGAGAGAGAGAGAGAGAGAGAGAGAGAGAGAGAGAGAGAAAGACACAGAGACACAGAGACACAGAGACACAGAGAAAGAGATCTGAATCTAATTTCTTTTTTCTTTTCTTATAGTGGGTCTTTGCTACTTTGTGGGTTCTTTTTCCCACCTTTATCCCTATCCCTCTGGTTTCAATCTTATCACTAAATAGGAGAAAAAGAAGAGAGGAGGGTGGAAAAAGATATAGAGATCTCTAAATTCAATTTATTTATTCATTGAGCATGACTAACAAACCACAAACATCTCCCCCCAACACACACCTAATGACCACCAACCACCAACCCCACCTATTGGTTCCCTTGCATTTATGTACTCTCTGAAAAATTCCCAGAGTTCCAAATATTACACAACTACAGAAACTATCTGCAACTGGCAAAATCATGCCTCTACTGGAACATGAGACAAATCATAGTCAGCTGCTGTGAAACAGCCCCATATCTCCACACCCAGGATGAAAATGAAACCATATTCCTATAATATTTCTATGTCTTCTAAGGAAACCAAAATTCCAGAATTCTTACTACAGTAAGCCTCTAGCTCTTGACTACTCTTTGCCTTTTTACATAACCCCTTTCATCACCCACCATGGCATCTATTGCTTGATTTTCTGTCTTCCTCCTCTGCTAGAATGCAATCCCCATGAGATCAAGAACATGATAATTTTGTTCCCATTGTAGAGGCTCGATAAATATTTTTCAACTAAAAGAGTGATACACTACTTCACAATAACCCGGGTATCAAATAGAATCTGAAGTCCAGCAGGTGTGCTAAGTCTATGGTTCCCTGGGGAGCAGATACCGTTTCTGTCTGGCCATAGATTTCTCGGATTTCCAGTCCTGTCTTGGCTTTCCAGTTCTCCAGAGTCTCTGGGAGAAGGGTCTCTCCTCCACTGTAGCAGCTATGCAGATGTGGGAACTTGTAACTAAAGAAGAGAATTTATTTATCTTTAGCTTCATTGGAACTGAAGTCTACCCAGGCTTGGGGCTGAGTTCTGGGTGCTCTGATGGTGTTCCTGGTTTTATATAGGCTAAATATGTTCAGCTTAATAGGTAGAGGGGTGGGTCTAGAGGCTTGTACCAATCCCCTCAGGTCCATCACCTGGAAAGATCCTCTTGTAGCAACATCCGGTAAATGAGGGGAGCACCCAACAGGCTGTTGATGGGGTAGCTGGAAAGTACCTGTGAAGAGAAAGCCCTCAGAGACATTGCTCATTAGACAAGATGCCAAACTCAACATGTCAGTCATGACTTCTTGAGTTTTAGTGATCCTGACTGAAATCCCTTGTCTGTTGTGTTTGTTTTAGACTTAACAAGTCTCATAAATCTCACACACCCCCAAGACACATCAGAGGAATGAACCCAGATATAAAAAGGTCCAAGATGCATTTGCAAACCTTTTGTCAAAGCCTGGCTGGTTCTTCCCACTCAGTTTAAGACTCATCCTCATAATCCCCTACTCTGACCCACCAAAGTCTCAGCCATCAGGGGAAATAGACCAGATATTGCACTAAATGAATTATGTGATCTTCGTGTAGTGATTTAACCTTCTGGAACTAGGTTTATTATAGGCTATTTCCACGAAAACCACTGTGAAAGACAATTCTTGAAAGGCATGGAACAGAAAGCTTCCTTAAGCAATTCCCACAATGATCTCATGCAGTATGTACTGTGATCCTGTTTATGGACCCGAGCCCTGCAGGGTTAAGCAGATTGTAAGCAACTGGAGAAGTCAGTATTTGCCAAGCATTATGCAATGTTGTCTCCCTCACCATACTTGTTTTGTGCAGAACTGAACAGTGATCTAAGCAAATGTCTAGAAAAAAAATAAAGAACATGTAAGTATCATACAATCATGTCCTGTATGTGTAACTGACAACTCTAGCTCTGTTGTATTATATTTTTGCAATAAGAAAGAAAGTGCATTTATTGTTTGTTAGTATGTGGTAGTAAGCAGCTACATCATGTAGATTTTCTTAATGGCTATCTCAGACTATATAGGAAAAGGAATCCTCTCTCTCTCTCTCTTTAGAATTCCTCTCATGTAAATTCCCCAAACTGGACAAAAGGCAAACACCCATCTGTAATATGATGGGAAAGAAATGATGATTCATTTCTAGATATATTCTTAGAATGGAACACTACACAGAAATTAAAAATAAACTTCATATACATGAAAAAATATAGATTAACCTCACAAAGAAATTGGCTGAGGGAAAGAAATCAGACACAGGAGATAATATACCCTACATCTAAGTTGACAAAAAAAGAGAAAAGGTGGAATTTAAGCTGGTAGAAGTTAAAAGAATTACTAACTCTTGAGGTGAAGACATGGCCAGGGGAGGCATGGGCACCTTCTGCAGCTATAGAAACATTTGAGGTTTGAATCTGGTGATGGTTACATGTGTGTCTGATATAAACCCTATACACTGGATGGAGCAATAGGAGCTATAAGAAAAGAATGAGACTCTCTGTTCTTCTCTCCTCCCCCTTTCCCCTCCTCTCCCCTCTCCTCCCTCCTTCCCCACCTCTCCTCCTAAGGAAACAGCAAGAAGGTGATGCCTACAAGCCAGCATGAAGTTCCTTGTTAAGCAGGCAACTCCTCTTGCACCTTGATCATCTTCCATCTCAACCTTCAGAAACATGGGAAGCATCTGCTCTGTGGCTATGTGAGCCTCTTAGTCTGAGGTGTTTCTGTGCAGTAGCCTAAGCTGAGAGAGGCAGTGTCTGGCCCATGTAAATGATTTTCCAACTGTACATTAGAATTGTGGCCTTCCACACATTTTAACCATTGTTTTGTGTTATGTCACAAATAAATAAGGAAATATGAAACACACACACATGAATAGACACACGCATGCATGTGTATAGACACACACATGTGCACACACACAAACACACACACACAGACATACATATGTGTGAGGAAGATGATATTACCTATCATCTTGTTTTCTGAGATCTGACATCAAGGGAAGTGCTTCTTTCTTGGGAGAACCACCAACTAGTCCCGTCTCCTGAATGCAAGTCATTCATCAATGTATGCATCCATCTCTCTCCCTAGACCATGAGCTTTGTTAGATGGGTGCAAGCTTCTGTCTTGCTTCCTGCTGTCCACTGCTCATCCATGTGGCTGGGATTTGGCAGAAGTTTTATGAACTAAAACTAACTGCAATAACCTGGTGTGTGTGAATGTGGAATTTACTCTGACCAACCAATGCAAATGGTCCTCTCTTACCTTTAGAACAGTTTGTGCATCAAACTTTGGCAAAAGGTGGACAAATATACATGCTCCCAATACCCAAGGTTCCAGAAACGCGCCTAAAATGTTCAGTATCCAACCCGTGTCTGCGATGGTCCATACTATTTCAGAAGTACTCAGGCCTGTCCAGCTGCTGAAAACACAGAACGTAGGCACACAGAGATGAGTGTATATCAACAGTAGAGTGTTTGAGGGGCTGTGTGGGGGGAAGGGTTAGATGTGGGAATGCAGTGTGTGAAAGTGTAGGAGTGCTCTACAAACTGTTACTCTAGAAGATACAACTTAGCAGATAATTGGGTTTTACTCTCACCTTCTTTCCAATACTAGGACACTGATTGACAAACAGAATCACCCAGAATAAAAGCTTACTAACAAAAGACATCAAAGGAAACATTTGTGTGTGTGTATGTGTGTGTGTTGATGTATGCGTGTGTGTACATGTCAGAGGTTCTTATCTATCATTCTCCACCTTACTCTTTGAGACAGGGTCTCTCACTAAACTTGGAGCTCACTGATTGGCTGGCTTGGCTGTCTAATGAGCTCTGGGGAGCTCTTACTGGCCATGTTCTTCTAGTGCTGGGGTTACAGATATGCATCACCATATGTAGCTTTTCTGTGGGTGCTAGAGATCTGAGTCCAGGTTCTCACACTTGTACAAGCACTTTGCTCAGTGAGCCCAGGTCCTCAGCTTCCAGGTCAACATATGACAGTCTTGCCAACTTCAAGTTTGTTGAGTAGGCCTTTGGTTCTCTTTGCTCCAAGTACCATGAACTGCCTGAAAACAGCTACAGTACTGGAAAAACTGTTTCCTTTCTTTCTCCAGGGCAGAATAAGAGGCACCAACCCCTTGTCAAAGCAAAGATGTAGGAAAGACAGGAAGAACACACAATCATACATACACAGACACAGACACACACACACACACACATACTGAAGATGGTTGACTTCTTTAGGAAATTAAGCATATTGGAACCTACATGGAATGGTGGTACTCCAAAGTAGTATCTTAGTTTTAAAAGCAATTTATTACATGTCCTTAAAATTGTATTTTATTTCAGTTAATCTATTAAATTATTTATTTTATGTGCACGTGTGTGTTCATGAGGAGGGCACACACTCCTGTGTTTACGTATGTGTCTGTTTGTTGAGGTCAGAGATGAACATCAGATATGGTTCTCAGATCCTACCTTAATTTTTGAGATACTATTTCTCACTGTCTGCCTTGGAGTTTACAAATTAGGCTAAGCTTACCAGCCTGGGAGTCTCAGGAGGCCACCAATCACCACCTCCAGGATTTAGCATTATAAATGTGGGCAACCAAACTCTTTTTTAAAAATGTGTATTCTGGGGACCATAGTCCTATTGCTTGTGTGATAAGGGCTTATGAAGCTAGACTCTCCCTGCTGACTAATTTAGTTTTCTGATGCAGTTGACTCACAGGTAGGACATTTATGCTTTTAAAAAAAAGGTTTTTTTTAACGTTAAGATATTTCCTGTTCTAATAATAAAATTCCCATTGCAGGAAGGAGTTATAGGAAAAGAACACAAAGACGTGCAGCAAATTAGCTCATGAAGATCTTGGCACTGTACTTTCTGACTCAACAGTCATAGTGACCTAGTAATGAAATCAATGCTGTCGTGAGCCCTATGTTCTAGAAACTCCAATAACACAGTTCATCTCCTTTCTCTAACAATACTTTTCACATGAATGAGTTTGCAAAGTAATTTGTTGATGGAAAAAAGAAGATGTCCTCCTGGAATCTGGGTACCATTAAAGCAAATTGCCAGAGAACCCTAAAGACAAGGTAGAGAGCATCTTGGAAGAGGACTTTTGTACCCCATTGCTATCCATTCATCCTATTAGTGTGGCTTGACACAAGGAAGTGGTATTGAGATCTTGTGTTGTCTAAAACAGAGATGTCACACCGAAGAGTCCCCAGTATGTGAAGTCTTGCCTTTTTAGCCTTCCTTCTTGGTTGTTTTTCTAGAAGTCTCCAGGGAAGATCAGACCTGATTTGAACAATTGCTATGAATCTATTGAAGGAAAAGGCTCAGCTTACCCAGCATCCATCTTGGCCTTGATGCCCAGGCTGCAATGGGAGTGTTCGGCCATCTTGGGAGGGCCACTGGTTCCACTAGTGAAGTAGATGGCAGCTGATTCTTGGCTTCCTGTCTCCACACACTGATGAATGGTGGATGCATCCCTACAGGAACCAGAAAGTCAATGTCTCATATCCAGCCTGGATACTGATGATACTGGATACTGTGACTCATCACCTTTTAGTAGCCTTTAAGCTGACAAGGGCAAGTCAGATGACCTATCTCTGAAGAGAAGCTCTTGAGTGGTAAAATTCATGGATCCCTGGGTGAGTCAGACGTAGCACTTTGTTAACTATGTGAGTTTGTACAAGTTACTTAACTTCTGTGAGTCTCACTTTCAGTATCTGTGAAATGGGGTCAAGATAACCTGTCTCAGAGTTAAACCAGAAAGGAAACTATAACAAAGAAAGCAAGGGCATAAGAAGCAGGAGCTTAATGTCAATTCAATTGTTATTGGACCCCAGAATGATACCAGGGGCACAGAAAGTGGGCAGTTAGTTTTCCAAGTGTTTTTTTAAAAAACCTATTTATTTGTATTTTATGTGCATGAGTATTTTGCCTACATTTATGTATATGCACAACATGTCTTTGTTTACTGTGGAGGCCAGAAGAGGGCATTGGATTGCCTAGAACTGGAGTTATAGACAGTTGTTAATCTGCCATATAGATGTTGGGAATTAAACCCAGGTCCTTGGGAAGAGCAGAGCTAGTCTCTCCAGTACCCCACATGATTTCTTGACACCCACTTTTATTCTCTGCTGAACCTGCAAGTTTTTTTAGGCAATCTTTCTTTTGAATTTGAATCTTTAAAAGCTGGTGTTTTATTGTTTATTTTATGAAAATTATTTCAAAGATCATGACAGTAGAAAGGGAGAAAACCCTTTATGTTCTCCTTAAATGTATTCTAGGGCATATGTCTCTAATGGACTGATTTAAGCCATGTGGCAAGAATCCCATTTATCCAGCCAGTCTTGGTATGAAATTATGGAAGGACCACTAGTCTGGAAACTGTCTCTTAGGGATACAGAATGTGAGAAGAGCCTGAAGTTAGTGCACGAGGCATCTCTGAGAGGTTGTCTTGTATACTGTTGGACTCACCTCACATTTGATCTATGGTTGTAGATCTATAGTTCTAGATGCCTTTCAACCCCATTCAGTATGTAGTATGTGTATGTATATCTGTGTATTTGTATGTGCCTGTGTAGTGTGCTTATGTAATATGCATTTTATGTATCTCTGCCATGTGTCTGTCTATTCGTATGTATGTATGCATGTATGTATGTATATGTGCCTCTACAGTGTGTTTGTGTGTGTGGTGTATTCGTGTATGTGCTAAGCACATACCTGCATGTGAACACTCAAAAGCCACAGGTGTCTCCCGCTACTGCATTCTGCAATATTGCCTTGAGACAGAGTCTCTCAATGAACTGGAATCTAAGTTTTAGGCAAGGCCAGGCTGGCCTGTGAACTTTTGGGGTTTGCCTGTCTTTACCTCCCAGTGCTAGAGTTACAGGCATGTACAGCCATGTTGGCTTTTTAGATGGATGCTGGAGATTTGAATTAGGTCTCATGCTCGTACAAGTTCTCTTATCCACTGAGCCATATCCTTAGGCCCTTAGTCTCCCTGGAATTTGTTTTTAAATGCTACTGTGGCATGGGACTCTGGACCTGCAAGTGTAAAAGCCTAGAAGTGTGAGGTAATAATGTCCCTTAAAACCATAAACATATGAATGTCAGTCCTTTGTTAGAAAATCCCTGGGGGCATTCTATGTGCTTTTTGGGAGGTGTCTGAATGCCTGGCTCCGCCCACCTTTGGATACAGTCCACACTAAACACTTGCATTTGCTTTTCTTTCTTCACTATCTCACTCCGCTTAGACTTACACTGTTAATAACTGTACAATTTCTTGGTTGGATTTCTAGTTTGGATGAAAACCTGGCTAAGGCAAGAGATACTCACTTTAGCAGTGCCTTGAAGTTTAGCCATCCTTCTCGATTTTTTTCAGACACCAGCAACTTGAGTTTCAGAAAAGAACAGTCAGGGGCCACAGCATCCACTTCCTGGGCCACTTCGTCCCCAGCCACAATGGCCCTGGCCTTGGATGACTGCAGCCTGTAGAGTATGTCTGAGGATTTCATCTGGATGGTTCCAGGCATGAAAACAAGGCCTGAAGAAACCAAATAATTTAAAGAGAGCTAGGAAGGGGTTTGTCTTCTTCCCCAGAGAAGGGCTGTGCACAGCCACAGGGGTGGGGGTGGGGGGACAACAGGAAGGGCAGGTGGGAGGACCAATGGAGAATAAGGACAGCACATTCTATGGGGGTTTCTTTGGGGAGAGCAGGCTGCAGTTCTCTGCCCTCCATATCCTTCACAAGGAAGAGTGCCCAGCCTGTGTGGGCAGTTACTAACCAGTCCGCATGCAACCCAGCGTCACCAGCCACCACTCAGGGACTCGGGGAAGCACTACTGCCACACGGTCCCCACGCTGCAGGCCACAGGCCCCTGAGAGAACATTGGCTGTCTGTTTACTGATTTCACTCAGTTCTCTGAAGCTCCACTTTATTTCTTCCCCACTGCCATTCATCCACCACAGGGCTGGACCTGGAGATCTCTTGCCAGCCTGAAGAAAAAGAAGGCCTGATGATCAGAAGACTTATGGGAACATGGGAGGTAGGACACATGTTGGAATAATCTTCTTGCACATTGTGTAAAGGTTGTCTTTGTATTATTCAAATGTTGATTTCTGTACCAGCAGAGTGCTGAGTACTGTCTAGACTTTGGTATTGTTATTTTTATGAAGCATCACCTGTTTTCGTGTTTTGTAAAACATCTTCCCCATCACTTGATTGGTTTAATAAAGAGCTGATGGCCTACAGTAGGGCAGGAGAGGAAAGATGGAACATCCAGGCAGAGTTAGGAACTCTGGAAAATGATCAGGTGTGAGCACACATGAGGAGGTAAGGGGAGGTTCTCCAGGTGGATACAAAGATGGAAGGACACCCAGGACTGTGTGAGGGAGATTTAATGGGCCATGTGGCAACTGCTGACAAGTATAGATGGTTAACTAAGTCATACAAGCTAGTGGGAACAAGCCTAAGCTATAAGGCCTAATCTTTCATTAATAATAAAAGCTCTCCATGTCATTATTGGGAGCTATCAGTTTAAGATGGTATTAGCACAGCAAACAAAACAAATTGTAAGTCTAGGGGTAGGTTTGTCAATCCGAGGACACCCCCACACAATTAAAAAGTATTGAAAACCCTCAAATTATTTTTTAAATGGGGGTTTGGCCTATTGATACTATATTAAAACAGAGACTTTTAATATGCAAGTTTAAAAATACAACAGCTAAAACACATAATATATTGCTGTGATCGATAATGTGATTGGCAGCTGGATTAGCTTGAGGATGCCTAAGAGATGAGTAAAGTGTACCTCTCAGGTATGTATGTGCGATTACATGCTTGTCATGTAAACTGTAGGACCTGAGTTCCAGTCCCTAGAACACATTTCCAAAAAGCAGGTAGTGATGACACACTCTTGTAATTCATGCACTGAGGAGGTAGAGACAGGCAGATCCCTGTGGTTTGCTTTTGGTCAGTCTAGTGTACTCAATGAGCTTCTGGTCAGTGAGAGACCCTATCTCAATACCCAAAGTGATGGAGCTGTGGAAAGAAAGGCACATGAGGCTGACCTCTGGCATCCAGTTATACTCACACATTATAAACACAGATACATGTGTGAATATTAGTGCATGCAGTACGTGCATGCACACAGAGACAAAGAGACTCAGTCCATTCCTCTGGATTGAAACAGACCCTTGTAGGTCAGGAGAGGCTCAGGAGCTCATGAAACTAACAAACAATGAAGCCCAAGTTTACAAGATGCATAGGCAGATGAATCTTCAAGGAGCCAGTTCAGGCTGTTATAGTTAAGTAGCAAATAGCTAGTTGCATAAGGAGTACCAATGATACATACTGAGGAGGGCTTCTCAGTGACACGTGTCCCTTTAGGTTGCTCATGCTCCTGTAACTCCTTACCCACACCCTAGTAACTAACCCTAAAGGCTTATTGTTTCACCAATCTTGACTTAGATCGGATCAGTTGTTTGGCCTGTCATCACACTGGATGGGATGATCAGCAAGTCTTCCAGGAAGAATCATACAACAACCTTGAACCTGTGTTCCAACTTCAACAGAGAGGATGATGCAATCGCCGTGCTAAGGTTGTGTCCCAGAGCCAGGACCTCAACAACATCATTGTCACAGCTCCCTTTGGGCATTCCTGTTTGGGTCTCTTGCTAGTTAAGTCCACCCTTTCTCCTGCCTTAGCCCGGATGAGCCAGTTCAGTCCCTTGAATTGTATTTCTGGTGAAGGCAGTGGTGAGCTGATAGGAAATGAAACTCATAGATGGACACGAAACTTGGAGCTTTCTACATCTCTTCCCCAACCCCTACCCCATCTCTTGGGCTGAAGCCCTTTTCTACTTTGTTGAGTGGGCATCTTACTCACACACCTCAATGGCTGGGACATGTGGCCTAGTTTTCTGAGAAGACTGGCTAAGCCTTGAGTTGTTGATTTCTTTCTGTGATCATGTTAATCAGAAACACCTTGATGTATCTTGTAGCTTGTGCATTCAGAGGATTCTGTCAGTATCCCTTGGCTGTGTTGACTCTGAGTGTGTGTAAGGTGAGACAGAGTCATGGCAGTGGGAGTGTGTGACAGAGGTTACCCACTCTGTGACAGATAGGAAGCAAAAGAGAGAAGCAGAGACCACAGATAAAGCAGAACTTCAGGGTTATGCCTTCAGTAACCTGTTTCCTCTAGTACCACTATATAAAGCCTCTACCACCTCCCAAACCAACATCACTAGCTAGAGACCAAATATTTAAACTAAGCCTATGGGGTTACTACTGTAACAGGGCCTCAAATCTTAGCACAACTGATTCCATGATGAAAGTACCATTCTGGCTGTAAAATTCAGCATGTAGACAGAAACATTTGCCAAAACTAAAACAAAAACATAGTCTGTCAAAGTCCATATCATTCTGGGAAAGTCTCAAAATGTCCTAAACTTGCTTTTTAGCTTCTGTAGTTCTCTGTTTTGGCTAACTGTCCTTATTAACTGAAGTATGTCAACCTAGAGCATGTTTTTTGTGCTTAAAAACTCACTCTGAGAATGACTCAGGGATACACTGGGATCCTGAACACCCAGTGTAGCGGTGGCTGGCTAATAAAGTCTTTCTATTATCTTAGACCCATGTCTGAGCAGTCTTCTCTGGTGAATACCTCAATGTTTCTGAAAACCTCAGAGAAATTCCAGAGACCATATCTTGAGACACCGGGGTCTCAGAGCCTCTTAGAAGAAGAAAGAGTGCCACTGTTAGGAGACTCATAGGGGATGTGCAACTTGAGATGTTCCAGGTCCCCCCAGGACTCCCTTTGATCATTTGTTGCTTATTGATTCAGATGGGCCTGACACCTCCACCACAATGAGAAACAAACTGGAAAGTCACCTGGTCAATCACCTCTAGAGGTAAGTTTGGTTAAGGAGCCTTCTGTTTGGCTGCTGATCCAGTGTCCTCTCTCTCTCTCTCTCTCTCTCTCTCTCTCTCTCTCTCTCTCTCTCTCTGTCTTTCTCTCTCTCCCCTATGTTTGTGTCTGTGTATCTATGTGTCTTTCTATGTGAGTATCTCTGTGTGGACACACTTCTGTTTGTCTTTCTCTATGTGTTTGTCTTTTCTCTATGTGTTGGTCTTTCTGTCATTTCTGTTTCTATGCATTGACCAGTAGCTATCCCTAATGTGAGAACCCAGTGGCTTAAGAACTATGCCCCATCCTTTTGGGGACCTGAATCCTCTTGCTTCTGCAAGAAGTCACTAGAGAAACCCCAAAAGACCCTCCATCTATTACACTCCAGAAACAGATGTTCTTGCATGTTTTGTTGCTGGACTCCTGCTCTTGGTTAGCGTTAATCCCTGTGTGGAGGTGGGAAGGAGCTGGGTGTCTCATCCAGGGCCTCCTGCCATCTAAGAAAAAAGCACACAAGGAGGGAAAAGAGTCCCTTAGGCGAGCAGTCCCTCTGCTCTGTGCCTGCTCTAAGCAGCCCCAGAGAAGGGGAAAAATTCCCCTGGGCTGAGCTGGAAGGAAAAAAGAAAGTTCTACTCCTTTTCCAGTTATGATTTATGTCTCCTTTTTAAGCAGTGGTCTGTAAAACCCTTTATTCTCTGAAAAAAGTAAAAATGATTAAATAAATAAATAAACGCCCCCTGGGCTGGGCAAGGAGATCACTACTAGACAGCACAGCCTGGATAAGACAAATTTTTCCTTCTGTCTAACTAACACTGACCAAACAAACTTTAAACAACTTTTGATGGGTCCTTTTTAAAAGAATTAAAGATAGCTACTAAAAAGATTTCCTCTGTCACTAACTTGTCCCCAGATGTTAAAAAAAAAGATTAAAAAATTAAAAAATTCCAGTTGTTGGAAATACCTTAAAGGGTGTTTAACAACAGAAAGCTGAATGGGACAAGGTCTTTTACATAACTGAAAGCCATTGTCCCATTCCCTCATGATGAAACACAGTGAGACTTATGGATACCCAGCAAAGTTTGAGTGTTTCACTCTCACATAGGGGATTAAAGAAATCAATACCTCAGGATTGGCTCAACATCAAGCTCCTATAATTGTTCAACTACACAGTTCAGCTATGACTTTCCAAATTAAACAATACTCTATGACCCTGAACACATAAGGGAAAGTTGCAGTTTTGTTGCCTAGCTTAAAGAGACAGACATCTTGGTGCCCAGCCAGTCACCTGGACTGTACCTCTCCTGCCTGTGAAGAAACCTGGGACCTTTGATTCTCATGAGTCTGGTTCTTCTAGAGAATTAGGTGTACACATTCTTTGACCTGAAATATATATTCTCCAGCCTCTCAATGGCAAAAGTGAGTTGATCCATCTTTGCGTTTACGTGGACAGGCCCAGTGGGAGGTTACAGTGGGCAACTTACCTGGACCAGTTGCCCCAGGAATTAAAGATACCAAATGCAGATTTCCTGGCATTCTGTCAGAAGTTTCCTGGGAAGATAGATTACAAAAGGGCCACCAAGGGACAGCTGCCAGAGTTGTAGACCTTGAGCTACAGAATGTCAGCTAAGAAAGTTCAACTTTGTATATCAGAGACTACCTATCTTTGCTACCAGCTGAAGGAAGGCAAAAGGAGCCTGTCTCAGAGTAGTATTGCTGCCATCCTTTAAATCCCAACTCCAAAGTCTAAGAGACAGGTTCAAGGGTTCCTAGGTACATCTGGATATTGCTGCCTCTGGGTACCAGAGTTTGTGGAAATAATAAGACCTCTCTACACCAGGATGGAGTAGGACATTAAGACTCTAATCTGGACTGAGACTAAACAAAAGACATTTGAGGCTTTAAAACAGCTCTGACAATTGCTTCAGCCCTAAAGGGGTTTTAACAAAAACTTTGGGACCATGAAATGCCTTTTGTGGTTGGACCCTGGGGCCACAGAATGGCCCAACCGTTTAAGAGCTATGGCAGTTACTGCTAGTTTAATAAAATAAAGCAAACAAGTTAACACTGGCTCAGGATTTTATCCTTACAACACCTATGACACAATTAAGGCCCTCCTGAGGAAGTCCAGAATGCTGCCTGTTTGATGACTGTGTGACCCAATACCAGGTCTCACTCCTGGCACACACTCGAGTCCAGTTTGAGAAATCCAGCACCATCAAGTCATCGATTGCCTGATGACACTGGTGTTCATCCATGATTATCAGGAGGTGAAAGATGAAAGCAGGTATGCAGGAGCTACAGTAGTTACTTTAACTGAAATGATATGGGCACATGCCAAGTACCTTAGCTAAGAGCAGAATTGATTGCTATGACTCAGGCTTTCAGATAGGGAAAGAAAAGGTGACCACAGTATACACAGACTGTCAGTGTTTTGCTTTTACTACCAGTCATGTCCACAGTATGATCTAGAGAAAAACAAAAGAGTCTCTTATTACTAAAAAGGGGAACATTAAAAAATCTTGGTCCTCCCAACTCTCAGGCTGTTGTCTTGGCTGCCTGACAAATAGCCCTAAGACCACTGGGACCTATGAATATTCTGATATCATATTATAGCCAAGTGCTACCTGAGACTCCATGGTAAAAAAAGAAATGGACAGCTTAATCCCACAGGTTGATGGAGGACACCAGAAGGGAAGATCATTCTCCCAGAAACAGCTGGAGGACTGTGGTAACTGACTTACGTTACTCATCTGGGGTCTACAAAACTTTCTGAGTTTCCCAGACTAAGGTATGTTATACAAAGATGGACAACCTAGTGCAGGATATCCCAGCTAGATTTCAGATTTATGCTCAAGTGAATCCAAAACACATAACCCTTACCCAGGAAGGGGTCTGAATGAGAGACCAACATCCTGGTGAGCTCTGGAAAAACTGACTTCAAGATGCAGCCTTCTAGGGATGATAAAAATACTTCTTAATTTTTGATAACTATTTTGTTTCCCCTTCTGAGTGAGATTCACACATCCTCTCTTGGGCCTTCCTTATTACCCAGTTTTTTTGGATCTATGGATTGTAGCATGGTTGTCCTGCACTTTATGGCTAATGTCCACTTATAAGTGAGTACATACAATATTTGTCTTTTTGGGTCTGGGTTACTTCACTCAGGATGATATTCTCAAGTTCCATCTGCAAATTTCATAATGTCTTTGTTTTTAATAACTGAATAGTATTCCATTGTGTATATGTACCACATTTTCTGTATCCATTCTTCAGTTGAGGGACATCTGGGTTGTTTCTAGTCTGGCTATTATGAATAAAGCTGCTATGGATATAGTTAGGCAGGTATCGCTGGAGCATAGTGGAACATCTTTTGTGTATATGCCAAGTCATCAGAGGTTTATGGAAAGAGGGAACTAGGTGGGATAGGGAGTGAAGAGGGTTATAGGAATAGCAATCAGATGTAGGGGGAGGGGATGGGAGAGGGCTGAGAATTAGAACAGAAATCATTGTGGTGGCATCTCTGGGACTAGCTGGAAAGTGAGAGTTTATGGGATGACCCTAGCTGAGATTCCTACTAGTGGGGAATATAAAGATTGACGTGGCCACCTTCTGTAGTCAGGCAGGACTTCCAGTGGAAAGAGGGGGACATCAATCCACCCACAAATCCTTCAACTCAAAATTAGTCCTGCCTACAAGATGTACAAGGATAAAATGGAGTAGAGACTGAGGGGACAGATGACCAATGACTGGCCCAACATGAGACCCATCTCATTAGAGAGAACTAACCCTCGACACTATCTTTTTATTTTTATTTTTTATTTTTATTTATTTATTTTTATTGGATATTTTATTTACATTTCATATGTTATCCCCTTACCCCATCCCCCACCCACCCGGGAACCCCCCATCCCCTTACCCCTCCTCCTTCTTCTCCGTGGATGTAACCCCCACCTACCCCCCCACTCCCACTTCCCCACCCTCAAAATTCCCACCCCCTGGGGCGTCCAGCCTTCATGAGGTCATGGATCTCTTCTTCCACCTGTGCCCGGCAGGGCCCTCCCCTCTTACATATTCAGCTGAAGCCCTGGATCCCTCCATAAGTGCTTCCAGGCTGGTGGTTAGGACCCTGGGAGCTGTGGTTGGTTGGTATTGTTGCTCTCCTCATGGTGCCACAAACCCTTTCAGCTCCTTCAGTCCTCACTCTAACTCCTCCATTGAGAACCTCATGATCAGTTCAATGGCTAGTTGTGAGCATCTGCCTCTGAATATGTCAGACTCTTGAAGGCCTCTGAGGAGACATCCATATCAGGCCCTTATCGGCATGCACTTCCTGACTTCGACATCAGCATCTACCTTTGGTGACTGCACATGGGATGGATACTCAGGTGGAAAGGTCTTCAAATGGCCCCTCCTTCAGTTTCTGTCCCTCACTTTGTCTCCATATTTGCTCCCTTGAGTATTTTGTTGCTCCTTCTAAGAAGAACTGAATCACCCCCACTTGGTCTTCCTTTTTTATGAGCTTCATGTGGCCTGTGAGTTGCCTCTTGGGCATTTCAAGGTTCTGGGCTAATATCCAATAATCAGTGAGTGAATACCATGTGTGTTCTTTTGTGATTGGCTTACTTCACTCAGGATGATAATTTCTAGTTCCATCCATTTACCTAGGAACCTCTCGAATTGTCAATAGGACAAAACGACAACCAACAAATTGGGAAAAGATCTTTACCAATCCTACATCTGATAGAGGGCTAATATCCAATATATACAAAGAACTCAAGAAATTAGACTCCAGACAACCAAATAACCCTATTAAAAAATGGGGTATAGAGCTTAACAAAGAATTTTCAATGGAAGAAACTCGAATGGCCGAGAAGCACCTAAAGAAATGTTCAGTGT